AACTTTGCTTAAGTTCAACTGTGTTGACATTGCTCTCAAACTCCTAATAGTTAAGCTCCAAAAACATCATTGTTATATATTCTAGCAGGACAAAGCATAACAAACATTTGAAGCTTGAAACTAAATACCCTAATATATCACAAGCAAATATTGGTGTAAATTACTTAACTATATAATAACATACATATGGGACTGAAGGAGTTGCTTCTGCTTACTCAAAATGATAATTAATACACGAGATAATAGCCTATATAAGAATAATTGAAGCATAATTAACAACTAGCAGGAAAGAGTTGGCTAAATGTGAGATGTTATGTCATACCTTGTCCTGCTGTTTAATGACCTTTGAGAATGATAAGCATAAACTTCCCATGTTCAGGATGTGAAATGCAAACAATAATGCAATATAGTCGATAGGCATCTAGAAGCACTGGCACATATTAAGATCACAGATATGAACAAGAAAGAAAATCCCAAACATGGTGATATTTCTAGGAATTCAATATTATTATAATCATTAGATCACATCTAAAACATTGGTATATTGACAGATGTTTTAACCAATGTACTATCCTCGAATCTAATTACATTTGCATAACATTTGAGACAAGTTTAATTGCATACCATGGAATGGATAAAATGTTTTAACCAATGCACCATCGTCAAAGCTAATTCCATTTGCATAACATTTGAGACAGTGTAAATTGCAAACAATGAAATGAATAAACTGTTGTCCTCACAAAAAATGAAAGTACAAAAAGAGTTTTAACTGTTCACTAGCTGAAAGTGAAGGTTTATGAGATTCAACTTAATTCAAAGTCAACTTGCTCTTACTCTAGTAAAGTCGTGTTTGTAGAAGTTTGGCCACTAATAGGCTCAACTTGTATAAGACTGTGTGACAGGATAAGCATGGAGCATCAATCATTAGTTGTTTTTCTTATTAAATGTAAGTGTTCATAAATAATTTCAATATTGTACATTCAAATTGCCAGAAGCTTGCAGCATGGGAGTACAAGCATCTTAACGGTTTGTATTAATTGTATGTCTGCATTGTAGGCATTAAGAAAAAGAGTGCCAGTGCCAAAACCTCTACCACTGTTGAAGTATTCCACTATTAAAAAGAAACATGCACTAAAACAGAAGAGAAAACTGCTAACCTCCAGAGGAAGAGGAGTCTGATCCACCACTAGTTGTATGGCGTCGGTACTTCCTGTGAGCTGCATCCTGTGCAGGTTTGCGAAATGATGACTTTGCATCCGAGTGCTCTAGAGAATCTGTTCGTAAAGCAGGATCCATGAATTCAACACCTCAAAATCAAAAGATAATGTTGTTAGTAAGAATTTGATAATTTTCCTACATAGTCTATTTGATAATTGATATATAGCAGCAGAAGTGGCTTAAAACTGATGACAACTGGAGTGTAAAGATAAATTACAAAAGATAGGTAGTTCAGAATAGTCCATCTAGACATAGCGACAGTTAATGTCCTAAAACTGGTATCTTAAAGAGTTATTGCTTTAATGCTAATTGCATGTCCAAGGGGAGATTCTGTAAATCCTCCATCAATATAGTTTATAACATTCCATAATTTGTTGAAAAATCAATTACGTATTAGACGATGAAATCACAAGCATATGACGGTACACAAGAGAAGATCTTTATGGTTATATACCCAAATGTAAAGACATAAAAAATACATCTATAATGGATCTTACTGCAAAATTTATTCAGAATGTATACTTCATAATAGTGCATAATATAACATTCATGTTTGAAACTAATCTGATGTGATCCAGCACAAGAACCATCAAAAGAATACACATTTAAAATTCAAAAGACAAACCCAAGCACCAACTGGAAATCTGTATAGCGTCAATCTCTGTTCACTTGATACATGAACAGCAAAAATGATAAAAACAGTTTTTTACCTGTATACACAGGTGTTATAGGTTACATCAGATGATGTTAATATCAAATTGCACACTTCATCTTAAACATTTGGACAGGAGCATGGATGCGCATGCGGGCAAGCAAGCCGTGGGGTATCAACAATCTAGCTTGGCACTAACGGAAAAGTCCATCCTGTTCCATGTCTAAATCTCCAACAACTATTTACCCATCAAATGGATCATTCACTTTATTCATGTTCATCTTCATCGTGAATAATTTAACAAATGAGTAATGTAAGCGGTTGCCGCCATACTTCACCCATACAACCAAACTAATAAGTAAATGATGACCATATCCACAAATTTTTCATCCATATATGATGTAGACCTTAAATGTTCAACATTAAGAGTTCGATCATCAGTGGAATGAAGATTTAAAATTTAGACCTCTATTCGATACATTTCAAATATGATACCTAGTAACCTATATACCCATGGCTCATATACATACATAAATATTTGTATGTCACAAACGTTAAAATACAATCTTTTAATTTGTATCAATCAGACTACTACTACTGGTTGAAGCTGATTGAAGAGGAATGAGCATATAGTGCATATTGCTGGTTAAAAAATACCCATAAATAATCACTTTCGTCGCTCAAAATCGATTATTCGTCACGTTGGTAAGAGTCTGATTGATTAAAATGGAAGAGTGCTTCTAGAGTCTTATGATAGTAGAATACATGTTATATTACATAAAACAGTTACAAGACAAATGCTTTATGGATCAGAATGTTGGGTCATTAAAAACAACATGTGTAAAAAACGGCTATAGCAGAAATGAGAATGCAACCATGGTCTTATGGATGTATGCTGTAAAAAATAGGACAAATTTTCAAAACCAACCCCTTTCACTATTTAATTGCAAAAAACGACTTCTTTTCAACTTATTTAGAAAAACCGACCTGGTTTCAGCGCTGTCGCTGAAACCAGGTTGGTTTTTCAAAAAAAATTTACGAAACTTCACGGGAGTTCAACTCCTGTGAAGTTTAGCACACTTTTAAACTTCACGGGAGTTCAACTCCCGTGAAGATTACTTTCTGAATAAAACTTCACGGGAGTTGAACTCCAGTGGAGTTGCAGGCCAAATTCTCTAAAGAATCGCTTGCTGAGAAATTTGGCCTTAGCTTCACGGGATTTCAACTCCCATGAAGCTGCAGGCCAAATTTCCCAGCGAGCGATTCGCTGGGGAATTTGGCCTGCAACTCCATGGGAGTTCAACTCCCGTGGAGTTTCGGCCTATATAAGCTCACACGACAGCGGCCCCTACCTCACCTCTCTCATCGCAACCGCCCCAAACCCTAGCCCTCTCTCTCTCGTCCCAACCGCCGCCGTCCACATCAAAACCGACCGCCTCTCCCCATTTCCGACCGCCGGAACCCTACTCCAACCGTCGGCACCTAATTCCGACCGCCTCCCCCCTCATTCCGACCGCCGGAACCGTCGTTATCGCCGGAGTTCGACAGATTGAAGGTAAATTCCTCCTAAAATTATTTATTCTCTTAATTTCTTGTATTTTCTCGCTATTTCATGGTGATTACATGTAAAAAATTAAATTTTAGAATTTAATTATGAATTATTTATGAATTATGTGAAGAAAACTTAAATAATTTTGTCGATTTTAGAGGGTAAATTATCAATAATGTAAAAAATAGTGTTACTACATATGTATGACATCTAATTGATTTTAAAAAATAGTGTTATCAATAATTTTATCGATTTTAGAATTTCATTGTGAATAATTTATGAAATTTGCTCAAAAAAATTACATAATTTTGTGAATTTTGTGGATTTGGGGTGAAATTATAAAAAATGTAAAAATTAGTGTTATATGACATCAATTAGATTTTAGAATTTAATTGTGAATTATTTATGAATTATGTGAAGAAAACTTAAATGATTTTGTCGATTTAGAGGGTAAATTATCAATAATGTAAAAAATAGTGTTACTACATATGTATGACATCTACTTGATTTTAAAAAATAGTGTTATCAATAATTTTGTCGATTTTAGAATTTCATTGTGAATAATTTATGAAATTTGCTCAGAAAAATTACATAGTGTTATATGACATCAATTAGATTTTAGAATTTAATTGTGAATTATTTATGAATTATGTGAAGAAAACTTAAATGATTTTGTCGATTTAGAGGGTAAATTATCAATAATGTAAAAAATAGTGTTACTACATATGTATGACATCTACTTGATTTTAAAAAATAGTATTATCAATAATTATCAATAAAATTTTAAAGTCTTTTCGTGTAATATTAATCTTGAATGTTTTACTCTTAAGAGGTAATGATGAACGATCGAATCGTAATTTTGTGTTCGTATGATGGAAAGATTAACTACCTCGAAAATAATATGCCCGTTTATGAAGGAGGTGCGACGAGACCATTGTTTATAACAAAATCGTGTACTTTCGATGAGTTGGTTAATGAATTGCACAAACTTACATTAACCAACTCACGTGAGTATCACCTTAATGTTATTTGCAATTATCCTGTTGTGAAGAACGGGACAAGCGGCATTCAAATATCAAGTGACTACGATATGAGTCTCATTGGAGTCTTACATGACGAGAAGCGTTCGATTGAATTGTTCATTGAAAAACATCAAAGGAATTTGGGTAAATCGTTGAATTATGACGGAATGTATTCCCGCATGTTGGAGGACCCTGATGTTGATTCCGTTGACTTTTTATCTCCTTAACAAGATGAAGGTTGGACACAATCACAATATATGAACGGTCCTTCGCTTGTGGGCACTTCGAATGCGGTCGATACTAACACGAGAGTTCAAGAAGATAATGCAAGTGTTGAATCTGAGAATGATGATGAAGAGGAGGGCTTACAAATTAATAGCATGACCCTGATAGATCGTGATGAAGGGAACAACCACCACATTGACGGGTGTTATGCTAATAATGAGTATGTTATCTTAGAGGATCCGTCGCCCGATGTTATGCTAATAATGAGTATGTTATCTTAGAGGATCCGTCGCCCGATGAACTTCAAGGAGAAGAATGGATCGATAACTCCGTGATGGTAAGTGTTCCTATTGACATTAATAGCGGTCATGATACACAGAACGATGACTTCTCATTCGTGAAGGAAGATCTATATGAGAGCAAGGAGAAATTGATCAATGTGCTTCGCTCGTATGCCATTGCAAAAAATGTCAAGTTTAGGCCAACAAAAAATAACACAACAAGCTATCGCTCGTATGCCATTGCAAAAAATGTCAAGTTTAGGCCAACAAAAAATAACACAACAAGCTATAATGCGGTTTGTTTTTATCGCAAAGATGGTGAAGATGAAGATCTTGATGGACACTACGACGGGAATACGAATTGTCCTTGGAAGCTTAATTCACGTTCGGGTGTAAGAGTAGGTGGGCATTTCAAAATCACGACGTACAACGGAGTCCACACATGTAGCAATCCTCGATTGGAGATGAATAACAAGCATGTGTCCTCTTCTTTTATATATCGATTGATTTTATCGCATCTGAGAAAGGATCTTGATCTACGGCTAAAAGATATTCGTCTTTTAGTGCATAAAACGATCAACTTGGATGTATCATACAATAAGTGTTGGAATGCTAGGGGGAAGATGATGATAAAAATATTTGGGGATTGGGACAAATCTTATGAGATCTTACCGCATTATCTTAAAGCACTCAAAAGAGAAAATCCTGGGACTGTATATGAAGTTTCATCAGACCCTCTTGATGGCGAAGAACGACGATTTACGGGTGTATTTTGGGCATTTGGGCCTTGTATTGAGGGTTTTCAATATTGTCGTCCTCTTCTTAGTATTGATGGCACCCACTTATACGGCAAGTACAAAGGTGTTTTGCTTGTTACCACCGGAGTTGATGCGGACGACGGTTTGTTTCCTTTGGCGTTTGCAGTGGTTGATATTGAAAACACAGAGAATTAGGCGTGGTTTTTTGCATGCATTAGGTATCATATCCCTAGTGTGGGGGCGCGGCCGATTACATTCATATCTGATAGGATGAAAGGAATTCCAAGAGCACTCCAACGTCATTTCCCGTCACCACATGCACATCGTTATTGCTTGCGACATATTAGGGATAACTTCAAGAAGAAATATGAAAACGGTCAGGTTCAAGATCTTCTTTGGCAAGCCGGCTGTGCAACAGAAAAATTAGTTTATGACCAAATACGAGAGAGGATTAAGTTTATCTCCCGAGTTGCACATGATTGGATCGAAACTAGTTTAAGACCACACAATGTTGATAAATGGGCTTTATGTGAAGATGGCGGGAGACGGTTCTGTATGATGACTACGAACGCCTCAGAGAGTTTCAATGGCGTGCTCAGGGGAGCACGCGGTATGCCAATACAGTCACTAGTTGCTAAAACATTCTACAGACTTAATAACTTCTTTCTACGACGTCACGAACTTGGTGAAAATATCCGCTCGGAGCTCACACCGAAAAATGATGAAATGTTAGCGGCTCGGATTGTGCAAGCTCGATCCTTTCATGTCGTGAGATACAGTTTTAATGAATGGGAGGTCATTGAGGGAATATCACATAGAGAAAATCGCTCTTACAAAGTTAACATGTTAGTGGATCACTCGTGTACGTGCACTTGCAATGTACCGCAATTATAATGGATTCCTTGTTCACATGTTATCGCGGCTTGTTCTGATCTACAAGGTGGTGCGAGGATTTCACATTATGAGTTTGTCACGGCTTGGTATTCTACTTACAACTATCGACAAACATACAAAGAGTGTTTTCGTCCACCATATGATAGTCGATATTGGACACAAGACGGGCCACTGATATTACCTCCTTTGTGTAAAAGGTCGGCGGGGCGCCCTCGTTCCGTACGAATTAGAAATTGTATGGATGACGGTCGTGAAGGAGTTAGGAGGAGAAATAAGTGTAGTAGATGCGATCAACCGGGCCATAAGAAAAATAATTGTCCAGTTAGGATTAGGCGTTGATGTTGTAATTTGTAGCGGTTTCGATCTGTGTTTTCTTCCGTATGTCATTTGTGATTGTTAAATGCTAGGGGTTTCGTTCTGTGTTTGTTTCCGTGTGTCATTTGTGATTGGAATTTGTATCGTTTCGTACTATGTTATATAAATTTAATGTTTGGTTTCAAGTTATTGCTTTCTTCACGTTACGCATTCGTTTGTTGTTTATATATAACTAGATGAGTATTTTAACAGAAAGATCTAACACATTGTACATTGTCTTCTAATATTATTCTCAGTTATATTTATTATGGATCCGGGACCGATATGCCCCGACGTTTTGACCCTCCAGGCGAGCCACGTTTCAGACCATATTAGCTCAGGACAGGTAAAACATCTTTTGTATATGCTAGTTAGCATTGGCAACAATTTTAATTTTTCGCATTATACTTAATCGATATGTGATCTTTTTGAGTATTGTTTGATTCGTGCGTGTTTAAATCATATATATATTGTAGTAATTATTGTCAATAGGTAAATAGTTATATATATGAGTTAAATAGGTAGACGTATACAAAATAGGTAGATGTATACAAAACATGCACAGCAGCCTGTGCATGTTTTGTAAAACCTGCAACTTCACGGGAGTTCAACTCCCGTGAAGTTACAGTCTAAATTTCCCAGAGAGCGATTCTTTGGGAAATTTGGCCTGTAATTTCACGGGAGTTCAACTCCCGTGGAGTTTTAAATCCTCCAACAAACTTCACGGGAGTTCAACTCCCGTGAAGTTTTTTGAAGAAATTAAACTTCACGAGAGTTAAACTCCCGTGAAGTTTAAAAGTATGCTAAACTTCATGGGAGTTCAACTCCCGTGAAGTTTCGTAAAATTTTTTTAAAAAACCGACCTGGTTTCAGCGACAGCGCTGAAACCAGGTCGGTTTTTCTAAATAAGTTAAAAAGAGGTCGTTTTTTGCAATTAAATAGTGAAAGAGGTTGGTTTTAAAAATTTGTCCTAAAAAAATAGGATAAAAAATGAGCGCACTCGAAATAACTTCATTGAAAGTAATTAACAAGGATAAGGTAATAGTTACTTAATGGAGGAGACGACCCAAAAATAAACTTTAATGGAAGACAATAGAATTCACGTAGCCGACCACGAAATTTATGGAATAAAGACTTTCTCGTCATTTTTGTGATCAATCTACTACCGCTCGCAAGGTTTCTAGAGAGAACAAACAAACCCTAATAAATACAGAACTCTTCGCATCAAAGGAAACCCTAAAAAAACGCATCAAGATGGGATCGATCGAGGACTCACCCTGTTCCCGACAGAGGAGGCGGCGACAACTAGGGTTAATATCTCGCCGGCGACGAGGCCAAGAGGCGGAGGCGGAGGCGGAGGCGGATGAGTAGAAATGGTTAGGGCTGCAATTAGGCCTTTAATTGAGTAAGTTAAACAAATTAGCCGGCCCATTCCACTTAATAAACGGACTGGATCGGGTGGTTGAATAGGTTGCGAACTGGGTCCAGGGCTTTATACTCGGGCCCAATAATGTTATATTGATAAAATATAGAAAGGTTTTCTACAAGAAACCATCATAAAACACAGTGGCTTTTCAGAAAATTACCGTGAAATTTCAAGTTTTTATAAAAACACCAAGATAATATATATGCATTCTTAACAAAGTGTCACCAACTCATAATTTCCATCCATCTTTTGTTAAATAATAGTATAAATGGGATAAGTGCCCATCGTGACTAAATTTGGGTGGGGGAGGGAGGAGTGTTAATTTGGAGGGACTTAATTTTTTTGAAGGAGCTAATTAAGTTTGTGTTATTAGATGGAAAAATATAATAAAAGATTAGTGGGTCTCACCATGAGGGGTCTTTTAGTTAATTAACTTAACTGTGCACATTTTCATGGTGGTTTATAAAAAACAGAAATTTTTTGTGGTGGTTCTCCAGTAAACCAGTATATTTGTGGTGATTTTGTATAAAGAATCCTAAAATATGTATCATCAACGTTGAGAAAGTTGTAAGTAAAATGCTGCAAGGGATATTTTTGTCGTTAAAAATTATACTTCACGATCATTAGAGGGTTTCTAAACAAGTTCAAAAAGTTAAAGGGACTTTTCTGGTAACCCTAAACTTAAGGGGGATTTTCTGACATTTTGAAAGCCATAGGGAGTTAATCTAATAATTGTCCAAAATTAAGGAGGTTTTCTAATATTTAGCCAATAGACAAATATAGAAGAATTCTAGATTTGTACTACTATAACAATGAGAGAGTAGCATGCAAAGTCATTGCAAGTTACATGGTTTTGATTTGTGAAGCTATCATCTTACAACAGCCAAAGAAATGTGGGATGACCTCAAGTGCTTCTGCCGACAAATTAAGCAATGAAGTGCAGGAGACAAAAGTACTTTTTCCCATGAATCTCTTAGGTATTCAAGAATTATATTCTTCCATTGAGGTTTTGAATCCATTGAGGTTTTGAAATAAAATGGATATATGTTAGTCTGGAGAGTGTAGACCAAACCTGGAATTAAATTAATGAAGAAAACTGGAAAAATCCAGTTCAGTCGACCGGCAGGCTTGGTCCGGTCGATTGCAACGCCTGTAGGAAAACAACCCAGGAAACTCACTCTGGCTGGTCGACGTCGACCAAGAGTGGTCATCCGGTCAATCGACGCTAGGTCATCGGTCGACCGAAAACGTGCACAAAGACCCTGTAAGAAACTACGTTCTGGCCGGTCTACCGACTCACATGGTCCGGTCAACCGAAATCCGTTTTTTTAGTTTCCTAATTGTTGTGGGATTCTGTTTTTGGCTGGGTTTATATATATATCCTAATACGTTTTTAGGGTTATGCTAGGGTTAAGAGAACACGAAAAAGAGAGGGTTTTGACGGTACTTTGAGATTGGAAATCTTAGAGAGAGAGGCTAATTATGAGCATTGTAATCTTCTTCAATTAATCAAAGAATTGTGTGGTGTGACTCCCGAGGACGTAGGCACGTTGCCGAACCTCATTAAATCTGGTGTGTTCCTTCTTGCTTATCTTTCCTGCAATTTTCTTTTATTTGCGGTGATTTTCCTACTTGTTAAACTCTTAACACAAGATTCGGAAGGGCACGGGTTCGATTGATTGTTTTGAATCCCCAACAACTGGTATTAGAGCTTTGTTCAGAAGATTTGTGAGAGAGCCATGGCAGAGGAAAACAAATCAAAGATCGAGAAGTTTGACGGATCAGACTTCGCTTACTGAAAGTCACAGATGGAGGACTATCTGTACCAAAAGGATCTTTATCGTCCGTTGATGGGTAAAGCAAAAGGAAAGAAGGAGGATGAGACCGACGAGGACTGGGAAATATTGGATCGAAAGACTCTAGGGTAGATCCAATTGTCACTCGTAAAACTAGTCACACATAATATATTAAAGGAGAAGATGATGGTGGGGCTTATGGAAGCACTTGCAAAGATGTACGAGCAACCGTCAGCTGCAAACAATGTGCATCTCGTCAAGACATCTTCAACTTCAAGATGGCAGAAGGATATTCCTTCACGTTACATCTCAGTGAGTTCAATATGTTTATTGATCAACTTATCTCCGACATCATGTTTGATGACGAAGTGCAGCCCATATTGATTCTATCGTAGTTGTCGGATAGTTGGGCAGGTTATGTGACCGCAATTAGCAACTCGGTAGGGAATGAGAAGTTGAAGCTGAGCGAGGTTGTTAGCATAATTCTATCCAAGGAGGTTAGAAGAAAATAGTCTGAATCAGAAGGTTCAGGTTCAGCCCTAAATCTCGAGCAGAGAGGCCGAAACCAGAAGAAGGAAAACCAGAATAGGAATCAGTCGATGTCAAAGAAAAAGAGATCGAACTCGAAGGTTAGGCCTATCAAAGGGAAGTGTTGGAACTTCGGCCAGGAGGGCCATATATATTTAGTCTGCAAAGTGCCAAAGAAGGATGTGAATGAGCAGGAT